GTCAATGCATCCTCAACTTCATTTACATCAATCTCATCAAAATGACATGAATGTCTTCATAAATTCATCTTTATAATCAAAATTATGGGTTATGCATGGGTTCATGGGAAATCAACTTAAAACATGCAATTACTTCAAATCATGCATAATAGTTCATAACAATCAATTAAATCAATATTGAAAGGAACCCATGACATGGAAGAAAACCCTAACTTCTATTGGTGATTTCTAACTTGTAAATTGGAGAATTTAGGAACCCTATGAAGGAAAGAGCTCCATATGTGAACACTATCATACCTTGATGTAAAAAGCCCACAATAAATGGTGAATTGGAGACTTGATCTTGAAACCCTAGACTTGTTCTTTTTCCTTAGAGAGAGATATTTGAGAGGATGAACTTGTTCTTCTCTTAGGAATTTGATAGAATGAATTCAATTGGGTAGTTTTGGGGTTAAACCGTTTATATAGAGTCTCTAATAGAAGGTAAAATAACATAGTATTGGATTAGAATAATTAGGAAAAGACACAAAAGCCCTTCTTAAGAATAATTGTCGACCTCACCAATGGCCAGACCTACGATCCGTTGGTCAGACCACGGAGCATCCTGGTCAATCGTGGGTGAGATCAGAGACCACTGGATTTGGACCCCTAACGACGGACCCATATACGATATGTGGGTCCACCTACGGGCCGTACATCTCAGACGTGGGGCTCAACTTTTGATCCAGAATTTTCTTTAAGTCTGGAACTCACCTACAAGACCTACATATGACTCATGCATAGGACAACAGACAATCCTGTTGAACCGCATGTAATTACTAAAACTTTCAATTTTTTGGAAAATTGGGACTGGCTAACCACGGGCCTAGCTACGGACTGTGTGTCATACCACATGTCGTTGGTGGCTTTGTCAGTACTGGCACCAGATCCTGGAAAGTTGCATTTTTCCCATCTTTTCAAATCTGAGGTGTTACAAATGAAAAGGGCAATGTGATGAACATGATGATGTGAATTGCCTTAATATGACCCTTGTTGGTTAATTGATGAAATATTTGAAAGCATGAATGTGAACTTGAATTGTATGAATTGTTATCTCTTCCGGTGGTGTGATATTTCTTGTATGCATTGGTTGTGAACACCGTTATGAGTCATGTGATGATTTATGATGATGAGGTCTTTGCCGATGAACGTTATGAGGCCGAGGTCTTTGCCGGCGAGTATTATGATGCTGAGGTATTTACCGGCGAGTGTTGTGATGCCGAGGTCACTTTCGGCAAGTGTTATTATAAAGTCGATGATAAATGGTTCTGACTAGAGATTTGATATAAAGCCGATGGGAAATGGCTCCGGCTAGTAATATTGTGTCAATGGGAAATAGTTTCGGTGAGAGATTGATTATCGTGACTTGATGCATTTGATGTTTATGCGTGACTTGGTTGCTATTTGTGATTGATGTACTTGTTGTGTGTGACCGAACTACTTGACATTGAGATTGACTTTTTTGATTAGTTTGGTTGTTGAATTGTAAAGATTGAACTGCAAATATTGAGCCTTGTGAGCTGTTTGTTATAGAACTGTTAGGTTTGATTGATTTCTGTGCAAGTTGTATTTTGAGAAGCTTCGGTTGGAGTGTAAGGGGTATTTGATTTCTAGCTAGATGTCTTAGCTTGTTTATTAGGTTGCTTATTGGGTACCGTGTTGTTGGTACTCACCCCGTGCTTCTACACTTGTGTAGGTTCCGAGCTCGGACCCGTGTGATCCCTTTCTCCTTCTTCTGATTTTGAGGCTTGTCAAGGATTTGAAGAGGTAGCTGCTTGTTATTTCGGTGGACCCTCTTTTTTCTTTTCTTTATACTTTGTTCTATTTGAGAAACAAAGATTGAGACTTGTATTTATCTTTCGAATTCTGTTTTTATATTAGTGGCTTGTACACGTGACAACCAAATTTTGAGGTATATTGTTTAGAATGAATAAGTTTTATGTCTTTGTCTTGTTCTTGCTTTACTGTTTTCCGCATTTCTTTCATTTTTGTTGGGTTGAGGCTAACTTGTCTTGATGGGAATAGACAAGTGTCATCACATCCATTTTTTGGATCGTGACAGCATCTCCAGCCATTTGAAAGTTACCAAGTCAAATTTCCAATGATATGAGGGGTGGTGTGACCCAAAATATATACATAATTAAAAAAAAAAAACTATGTTGATCCTCAGAGTAAAAAGGAAAAAATAAAAAAAGAAGGGCAACAATGAAAATCTAATTATTAATAGTGCGTAAACCAAAATAAACAAGTATCGTCATGTTATATTTTGCAACAAAATAATCAGAACACAAGTGACTTAATTACGTTATCATAGTTGATTATGTGAAACATAATTTGACAGGAAGCAGGTCTCAAGTTAACTTTGAAAAAGAAATGGTCTATTAACACAACCAAAATAAAGCTCAATAAAACATGCAAAACAAATAGCAGTTCTAACGGAAATCGACAATGTTATTGACAAAAACATCATTAAAGTCGATCAAAATTCAATAAAAAAATTCAAATCAATAGGCGAGATAAACATAAAAAAAAAATTAAATTCTAGACATTATCCAAAGCAAAACATCATTAAAGATGCGGAATCAAAAACATGAACTAAAACGGGTCAGATTTTTAGAAGCTTAAGCAAAAATCTAAACTTCACTACACTACCACAATAAAAAAAATTAAATAGGGCTAAAAGTTACCGAAAATACGATTAAACTTATCTAAGAGGAAGAATATTCAACTGAACTTGGGGAAGAAAATTGAAGAAAAAAATCCACTCCAGTTTCATTTTTGGAATTCTGGGGAACGTTTATGGGATCTCACGTTTGTTCATGGTTTCAAGAATGGAAGATGAAAAGGTTAGTTATTGGAGAAATGTGAATTTATGCAAGTTTATGATTTCGAGAAGGCGAGTAGATGGAAGATGAAGATGCACATTGGAGAAGAAAGTAGACGTTCTCTCATAAAGGTTCCCAAGTTTCCTCGGAAAAAGGTTTTAAAAATTAAACTTTATTAAATAATTTTTTATATTGGGATTGTAATTGTATTTTTGGAGGGATTTTATTTAATGTTTCAATTGGGATTCAAATGTTTTTTTTTTATAAATTTGTATTTTATCCCGCATGTTTTTAAAGTGATGAAAAGTTTCATGACCCCCACAATCCAATCTCACTTTTTCATAATCTAATCCTAAAAAAATAAATCAAAAAGTAATTCAGTGACTATTTATCAACTTAGATTTTAATAATGTCTCCTTTGCCAATTATTCTCCGGTAAGTTTAGGCGAAGTGTTTTTTTATAGTTACATGGCATGGAGGTGAAGAAAAGAAAACTTATTGCACTTGATATACTATTCAATTTAGAGAAGTGAAAAAGACTTTACGACATTAATAATATAGCGATTGGTGCAATATTAGTGTGGTTATTTATTAGAGTAATTTCAATCTTTCCTTGCATTGTATTACGCTTGTAAATTCCTCTTGAAAATTTACCAAGGACCTTGTTTTTTAATATCGTTCTTCATTTTTTCATGTACATAGATTATCACTTGTATGATATCTGTAAATTATTAAAAAGAAAACTCTGCAATAACTTTGAGTTAGGAGACGCCGACGTGATTATATAAATTAATGTAATTTTATTTGATAAAATATAGATGAATGTATATTAGTGTAAGAATTGAAAGTAAATAATAAGTCAAAAACTATGATGACATAATATTAACATGCTTTCATTTATACTATTAGACTTCTTAATTACAATTATTTACTACTTATAAATAATTAAGTGCAAACAAAGAGTATAATGACAATAAAAAGAGATAGCATTAAAGGATGTGGTCGTAGAATGACAAAAGTTAAGGTATGGATTCAAGGGTTTTCAATAGGACACACCATGCTCTTATATCAAATTGTTATTTGTGGAGGCCCAACCGACACCCGGAGCCTCATAATGTCGAGTACACAGAAGCCAAATGTACATCTCCTAAACCTGCTGAATGTCTGGATTATTCTTTGGTAAGAGATGCTAAGATTTCCGTAGTGGACTTTCTATTGTGCAAACGTGGATTTAAGCGTGTGGTCGTAGAATGATAAAAAAAAAATATCACTACAATAAAAAATAATTTTTAGCGATAATTTACAATAGTAGTTACTTGTCACTGGATCAAATATCGTTATAGGTTTTAGTGGATTTACAAAAAGTGCTAAAATCTAATTATCATTAGTAATTGCCTCTAAAACAAACTATTTAACAACAACTAAACTATTTTCATTAATTAATTAAAACTATAAATATTTTCGGTGTAGTGTATATATATAGCACCACTTTGACTTAATTCAGCTGTACATATTGAATGAAGGGCATATATTTCTATTCAGATTACTCTTGTGTGAATAAAATCATTGTTGCCCTTATTTTCTAATAAATTAATAATTTTGAAAGTCAAAGTATGGTTGCCCTTACTTTTAACTTGTTTACTTTGCTTTCAACCACCCATATCAATAGTATTATATTTGCAGCTCCCAATTTTTTTTATTATTAAAAGAACAAAGAAACTATCCCCATGAAGTGAATAAATTAAATATGCCATACTATAAAAGTAAATCTAAGTGATTGCATTCAATTGCACGTCCAATTGGTTTTGAATGTGAAGGTTGGCAGTTGAATTATTTATTTTCTTTCAATCAACATCTATTTAAACTTTGACGAAAAACCAATTAACTACGGACTACAATTTAATACTCTCATTCTATTTTTGGAAATTCATTCTTGTTCAAGATTGGCTCCTCCAAATCATAACTCTCTCTAATTGGTACTGCTGATTCTGCACGCTGAATCGTCTCATTTACTTTAATCCCTTATTTCAAACGACTTTCTTTCTTTGAAACAAGTCTTCACATTCTTTGTTGTTTGAAATGGATAATTTATCGTGTTATATGTTGGTCATTTTGGGAGTTGTGTTACATAACTTAATGTTTTGTTTGGCAGAAAATGTAACTGCTAATTTTGTGTTTGGAGATTCATTAGTTGATGTTGGTAACAATAACTATATTCCTTCTCTTTCAAAAGCAAATTTCTACCCAAATGGTATTGATTTTGGGCGTCCAACAGGAAGATATACAAATGGAAGAACTATAGTTGACATTATAGGCAAGTTTTATCCGTCTTTTCATCTTCTTCTTTTTTCAAGTATCTTTTCTTCGATGATCTTATTTGAATCAATTTACAGGTCAGGAAGTGGGATTTAATTTTACACCACCGTACTTGGCACCAACAACATCCGGACCAGTAGTTCTGCAAGGTGTAAATTATGCTTCTGGCGGAGGAGGCATTCTTAATGGCACGGGCAAAATTTTCGTAAGTCCTTGATATATTTCTTTGTCAACGTATGATTCGTGTAATTTGCATTGATTTCGATTAATTTGTTGACATTGGTAAGGGTGGAAGGATCAACATGGATGCTCAATTAGACAACTTTGCAAACACAAGACAGTACATAATCACAAGATTAGGAGAAGCGGCCGCGATGAAGCTGCTAGAGAATGCACTATTCTCAGTAACAATGGGCTCAAATGACTTCATCAACAATTATCTCACCCCTGTTTTATCCACAGCAAAGCAACTGACAGTACCTCCTGAGAAATTTGTGGGAGAAGTCATATTCAAATACAAAATTCAACTAACGGTAAAACATCACACCATACTGCATTCTAATTAGTGTTGACATAATAATTAGTTAAATATTCAAAATCATTTGCAGAGACTTTATAATATGGGTGCGAGGAAGATAATAGTGGTAAACGTTGGACCTATTGGATGTATCCCGTACCAAAGGGAAATAAATCCATCAGCTGGAAACAAGTGTGTTAATTTCCCAAATGAACTAGCACAACTATTTAACAACCAATTGAGAATCCTAGTGACTCAACTCAATTCCAAACTTATTGGATCAAAATTTGTCTATGCAGATGTCTACGAAATCGTCCAAGATATTATTCAGAACTATTCATCTTATGGTGAGTTCTATAGTCAATGGTTACGTAATTCCATGTGGTCGTTCATCTAATAATTGATAGAAATTTTGTTTTAGGATTTGAGAGTGCAAACTCAGCTTGTTGTTCAGGTGGTGGACGATTTGGGGGCATAATTCCATGTGGTCCTTCATCTAAAATATGTGCAGATAGAAGCAAGTATGTGTTCTGGGATCCATACCATCCGTCTGATGCTGCTAATATCGTCGTAGCAAAACGTCTGCTCGACGGGAAATCTGCTGAAATTTGGCCTATGAATGTCAGGCAGCTCCTTGCATCTTCCTAATTTTATTGAAATGTCTTCTTCACTCGGAATTAAGCAAGTATTATTAGCTTAATTCATCATGCACGGTATTGTTTTTACATATTTATTACTAATAACAAAGTAATAGTAATTAATAAGATATAGGAAATGTGTAATGAGAGAGCAATGATTCATTGATTATGATTCCATATCAATTAATAACTCTGCTTCAATGTTTTTACTTATTTTTCATACAAACTAAAATTAAACTAAAATATCCAAGATTCAACTCGAAATATTAGGAGTTAAGGATCACAAATCGCAACCCAAATATCAGGTAGGCATTCTTGAAAAAATATTGATATTTTATTAGGCACAACGTTTAAGATTTTTCTAAAAAAAAAAAATTCTTGGATATTTGTGTAATTATGATCATTTCTTTTAAGTGTAAAGATGAAAATTTAAAACTAAGTTATTTTAAATTATAGAAAAATGGCATCGAACATTTTTACTTGGTATTAGGGCTGATCATAAATATCGAAAAACCGAAATATCGAATCGAACCGAATTTTTTAGGTATTTCAATTTTTGGTTCAGTTTTCGGTATATATTTTTGTATTTTCGATTCGGTTTTCGATATTTAATTTTGTATTTTTTGGTATTTCGGTTTAGCCGAAATATATTATTAAATTAATATTATATGAATTATTAATATTAAATAATTAATTTTATAGGCAAAATTTAATTAGGTCAAGAGTTCTCGCAGCAGGCTAGCACTAATTCAGCAACAACCGATGAGAAGTGTAATTCAGCAGCAAAAAATGGTAAAATTTTAAATTGTAAAAAGCCCACTAAGCAGGCCCACAACAAAAAACCGAACCGAAATAACAAAAACTGAATCGAATCGAATTATTTAGATGTTCGATACACCTATTACAGGAATCAAAAACAAAAAAAAAACTTAAAATTTAAACCGAAACGAATTACTGAAGATCCAGCCATATATGCAGCAAATCAAGAGAGACTTGAGCTTTGAAAAGATTACTACCATCTGTTTTCATGGCACAAAGTTCATTTTATTTTTAAAAACATAGGGTATATATAACTGAACATCAGAAAATGATAAAAATGATTTTTTATAGTGGGAAAAAGCATATATTTTCCCAAAAGTCAGTTACACGCTTAAACTATTATACTGACATATTACACACATTTACTACTTAAAAGTGATTTTTTTACTCTCACATTATATGGTGTATTACACTCGCTGCTACATCAGCGCGATATCATAAATTATAATTTCTTGGTTTCTGTTCTTTATTAATCAATTTTTATTTTGTTAATTGTATTTTACTCTAATTAATTCCTAATTAATTATTTTAATTCTCTAATATTTATATCTTCTTCATCACTAAATCTCACTCATTTTAATTCTCATTTCATCGAAAAAATCATATCCGACCACCTTTGCTATTGATTTTGTTTTTCACCACCACTATATCACCTTCCATTCTTCTTCTTCTTTGTCACTGATATGCCCAAATTACACTTCCCAAAAAAAGTTTAAGCGGTCGTTGCCAAATAAAGAACCCAATTTGTAGGTTGGGATCGATCCCACGAGGAATATGGTTTAGACTTAAACTTAACTCACAATTATCTCTTTCTAGTTAAACTATTTTCGAGAAAAGTAAACAAAGGAGGGTTTTGTAAATAAAATAACGGTTTGTTGATTTAAAGTAATAAGTAACAAGTAAACAAGATTCACAATTGAGATATCAATATAAGATGAAAACTAAGGTATATGTGTTCCCCACAAGCTCTTAATGCAGTATTCCTAATAATAGTATTTTTATCCTAGTGATTGACATGCAAGGCTGATAAGTTAGGTATCTCTAAGTGATTGGTAATCCTAATAGGAACTTTCACTCGCAATTTGGTAAGTCTGCGGGTGTGTGCTTTACTAACCCTTACCTTTACCCCAAATTAGTCCTCATGTCAATTGAGTTGGATATTCACCCTCACGTCAACTGGTTAAAGTCAGACTATTAGATAGCAGCAAATCCTTAACTAAATCTTCGTTGTTTAATCCTTTTCTCATTCACTACCCCCTTGGTAAGGCAAGTAGGAACGAGACGGGTTCTAACGTTGCTCACCGCTAGAAAGAATTTTAAACGAAAAAGATTATTAATACATGCATAAACACTATTTAAAAAATACTTATTTATTAGTCGTACGTTGTTAATTGCTCATGGTTCCCACAATCCTAGTTGTGGATTTAGCTACTCATGCTAGAGAATTCACAATTCATGTTAGGGTTACTAAAAGAAATCATGAACTTACAATTAGAATAGATGAAAACTGAAATCTTGAATTGAAATTCAAAGTGCAAATTGCATAAACTAGCTTCCGAAATTAAAGTGCCAAAGTGTTTGCAAAATAATTCCAAAAACCCAAGAATAAAAGTCTCCAATATTGTCTAACTCCCAAAAATGAAAATAACAACTAGAATTTATAGAAACTAAAACCTAAACAAAGTAGGAAAACGAAATAAGGAAAACTCGATCAGACGCAGTTTCGATCGACGACACGGCCTACGGACTGTGGATCAACCTACGGTCCGTCCGTGGTTCAGCACTTATAAAATATTTCAGGACCTTCAAACGACGGTCCCACCTGCGATTCGTGGATTAGACTACGGCCCATCTTGTCCCTCCATTGTTCAAGTACTGGAAATCAACTTTCTGATCAGAAACGACGATCATGTAGGACAGTCTGTCATTCACTCTACGGGGAATCGTTTGCCTCCGTGGTTCCACACTTGGTCAGAATTCTTTGAACTCACATCCATGCCTTAGCACCTACGACCGTCAATGGACCTACGGTCTTTGGTTTAGCTCTGTTGATTGCTACTGTTGTCACTTCAGTTCTTTTCTCTCTCAATCGCTTTCGAACCAAATTCTTGCAAAGATCACGTAAAAACCATTATATCTAATAACAAAATAGCTCAAGACTCACACAATCTAAGTGAAATACATCAAAAATACCGTAAACTCACAATATATCAACGCCCTCAACTTAAACTTGTTGTTTGTCCTCAAGCAACACACTAAAACTCTAAACAACACTCATGTAGAAGCAAACATACAAACTCAAGCAATCACATGGCTTTCTCAATCAATTTCATCACTTAATGCAAATCTTTTCATTTAAACTCAACAAGCTAACTCATGCAAATCAAAACATGACATAGACAGACCAATAGATATCACCACATACATTTTTACAATCACCAAGGTACCAACTATCCAACAATGTAACTAGTGCCCTCACTTCAAAGAAATCATTTTTCACACAACAACTCTAATTTTTAAGCTTAAGGATTCAGTCAACACTCACGCTCAAAAGTGGATTCAAATACAGTTAGTGCTCAATATCATAGGCTTGCCCTTATTTTCACTGCATAGACTCTCCAGATTAGTCACTAGGATCACTATAGGACTTTTTTACCTTGTAACGTAGGTTCAGGGTCAGGTAGGATACATTTGGGTATTTTTAGTGACTTTTCTGCCCTCCTTGACATTAGATTGTCTATTTACCACTTTTTTCAACCAGTTTTGACTTCTTTTCATTTTCTACTCTTTTCCTTGTCTCATTTCAGCACAGATGTGACTTTGACTTTTTCATTCTTCTTTTTCACTTTTCTTTTTTCTTTTACTTCTTCATTTTTTGTTTTTCAGCATCTTTATCATTCTTTTTGTTTCTCTTGAATTTAGTCACACCCTTGTCTATCATTTTTCTTCTTTTATACACAACTTTTTTCATACCCTTTTCTTTCAGTTTCTTTTTCATAGCCACCCTCAATTTATGTATTTGCATGAGTTGAGGTTCACACTATCCGAGGTCGGACCAGGGCCAAGATTAAGATAACTTTTGAATTAGCCAGCCTCAACTTAGGCTTTTGACCTAAGTTAAGGTGCACATGTTCAAGGAGGGACCAGGGCCGAAATAGTTTTTTAGGGAAGGTAAGTTAGGTGTGTTGAAAGAAGTGGTATTCATTAGGCTCAAACATTTGGATCAAATAGAGCATTTATTTCATTTGGTTCATCTTTTTAGGCTTAAGTGGACTTATTTGAACAAGGGCCTATGATCATTTCGCAATTTCTAGCCTAGATTATCTTAGCAGGACCAACGAGGCAAGTTCTAGATTGGCACATACTGCATGAACATACAATTTCCTCATACACACTTGGCACGTTGTTTCATTATTGAATTATTGAAGCACCTAGTTCAAGTTTTAGCTTAATCCATGCAATTGTACCGGTTCCTATCATGTCATAAACAGATCCAACACATTCAACTAATTAAGCCCATAGGTCTAGCATAGTTCAAATTTTTTGGACATGTATCAATTTCATGCTCTTATGCCATCATGCTTTCATTTTTTTCTATCTACTTCTACACATACAATCCTACACATGCCGGTTCAACAAAAAGGTAAAAACAGTCCCTTAGGGAAAAAGAACACGAGAAAGAAAACCCCAAGGGAGGGTTATGAGTTGGGTTACTCAGACTTCACCCTATCACTCACAAATCATTTACCCCACCCCCGCAAAAAAAATGGTGTAATTTCCCACAATGCACAGAAAAAAATAAAACATAGGGTGAAGCAAACTTGTGGCACATAAGCGCCGAAAACCCATCAAGAAGCGACTGGGTCTGGTTTCCCAGAACCCACTGGATCAGTAATAGGAACACCATCAGTAGCGCCCTCATCAATAGTAGAAACACCATTAGTAGTCCTTCTCAAACCAGATGGGCCAACATCTATCTTTTGGGCTCGCTGTTGCCTCAACTCCTCATCAATAATAGACTGCCTCTGGGCGGCCTTCAATTGCTGACACTCTCTCTTCTTTGCCCGTTGGGCCTCCTCGGTATCAGAAGTATGGTCAGAGGAGCAGTGGCGCTTCCCAAACGCTCGGGAAAGGTCGGGTCGTGGCATAGTGTCGCCAAAGAATGTAGTCATCACCACCTCATCCTTCTCA